ACACACACACACGCACTCGCGCACACACACACACGCACGCACACACACACACACACACAAACACACACTTGCCCAAGCACACAATTTCCATTCATGACCTTCATAGCACCTCATGCGTTCAGCGTCAAGCAGTCAAGCCTCCCGCAAGACGTTGGCGAGCCCAGCTGCGTCACACTGAGACGTGTGCTCAACCACCTTGCACAGTGTGCACGCATTCACCTGTTTGGCGTCTGCAGCATGTTAATCTTGAACACCGCCTCAGTGCCGGCGTCCGCATATGGCAGCCACAGGCGGAAAACCTGGCGAGAGGTGCGGGGATGGGGACAGTCAGCAGGGCCGGCCTGCACGGCACCTTTGTGGGCGGAGCTGCACCCATGAGACCCTGCACAAGCATCACAGGCTGGTTGACGGGTCCCCAATGAACACGATCTTCGACGAGGCTGCTGGTCGCTGCGGCTGCATGCATGCGCCGACTTTGGCAGCCCGCGGCTGCGGCTCCTTGCGGCCTGGTTGCCGGCGCCGGGCTGAGCACGCACCTTTGAGGGCGTGCCAGTGAAGTTGATGCTCAGCTCCTGGCCCATTGGCGCTGTCATCCAGAAGGTGCTCAGGCGCTTCTGGCAGGTGTATGCAAAGCACCAGCCCTGCCATGGTTTTGGGTGCAGGACGGGAGAGGGGGAAGACGTGTCGGCCAAGTGGCAATAATGGCAGCAAGCACGCGCGGTGCAGTGCAGTAGGTGCAGTGCAGGAGCAGCCTAAAAATGGTTTGCAAAGCACCTTGTCAGATGCTTGGTCTGTGCAGCGTTTTGCGTGCGTGGCTGATTGAATGTTTCATCGAGGGGCGCACCGCCTCACCTGGTCCATCGCAGCCACCAAGATGTCTGACACGCCGCCGGCCTCCGCGATCACTGGGGAGAAGTTGCGGTCCTCGCTGTCGGGATCCCTGGCACACAACAATCCAGGAGCAACAAGGTGAGTACAGGGACAGGCGCGCCCATGACACATGAAGCCCGTGGCGTGTGAAAAGGAGACGGACAGCCAGAACGATTCTGGTTGGTGGGTGGCGCCAGCTGCGGCTGCCCCAAGGCAGCTTTTCGCGCGTGTTCCCGGCTCCCTCACCTCGATTCGAGGACGAACAGCTGCGGGTCACCCCAGATGCCCGCGGGGGGCATGGGCGACGGGAGCCAGCCGCTGTTCAGGTCGGTGGTGGTGGCACCGCGCCTGTTTGCGGGGACAGCAGACAACCACATGATGGTTGGGTAAGAACGTCACAGGCAGGGTGCTTTCAGAATATGCATGGGCAACAGCCCAAGAGCGCGAAAGGGATCAAACCAAGCAGACGCCAGGGTTCACATGATGAGTGCCCTTGCTCTGCGCTTCTGCTTGGCTCCACTGATACTCCGCACCTGCAGACGTACGCTGTGAAGTCCTCGCTCCACTGGCACGGCCCCGGCACCGCGCCTGGCCCCTGGTCCTGGAGCGTGGCATAGTGTGCGCTGTCAAACCGCCCAAGCACGGTGGAGCCGGGCCCTGCACCCAGGAGCGTGCCGTCAACGTCCCTGCAGGCGGGGGGGGTGACAAATTGATCGGCAAGCATGTGGTAGGGTGCATGGGCCGCCCGAGACGATTGGCAAGTGCGAGGGTGGGCAAGCCAGCGCTGGTCGCCCTGCCTACCGCGCCACCCCGCCCCTTCTTCCAGACTTCCAAGCGCCACAGGCTGCCGCGGCCCCCGCAGCAGCTGCGGGGGCTGGTCTGATGGTCTTGTGGACTCGCCCTGCATCTCACCGGAAATAGGAATGCCTCGGCCCGGCGCAGTTGAGGGGCAGCGCGCTGCCGTCCCCGCGCGTGAAAACCGCATCGCCGCAGTCGTTCTGCAGAGAACAGGGTGCATGGGCCGGCGATGGGCATGATAACATTTTCAAGCGGCAGGTGCGCGCAGCGCGGTAGCAAGGGGCGCCCCAGCTGTGTCGGGGTGGCGCTGGCGCGCGGGAGGTGCTGCGCTGGGAATGGGGCAGCCCACCTCGTTGCGCCAATCCGGGTCGGGGGCGATCAGGTGGAACATGGCGGGGGCCGCCACGCCGACGACGTTCATCTGCATTGACGGCGCGCAGCCGACGCCGGGGGCCAAGCGGAGGGTCAGCGGGCTGGCAGCGTACCCGTATTTGAAACCTACGTGCCGTGCTTGTGGGTGTTTCTGGCTGGTAGAACAAGGCAGACAGGGCGTTTCAGACATAGATATAAAGGGCCGAGGCCGCACTGCACATTGCAGAGGCGCTGCTTCAGCGAAGAGGCTCCCTCACCTCTGAGAAGAAGTGCGGGTGCGACGCGTCGGGCGCAAACTGGTGGTTCCCCAGCGCAAACACGCCCTCCCCGCCGCAGGCGCCGGGGCCGTCGAAGCCGGCGAGGGTGACGCCCGAGACGCGCATCACGCCCTGGGCGGTGGCGTACCCATGGGTGTGGTCCCACGGCTTCATCTCTGCAAAATGTGAGTGGGTTGAATCGGCTGGAGGTTGACAAAAAGCTGTCAGGCCCAGTCTTTGGAAACCTGTTGACGGTGTCGAAGTTGCAGCGGAGCATCCAGTTGTTCACCGCAACCAACACGCGCGATGCGCTTGCAAAGCTTCAAAGCAGGCGTTGCTCAACAGAGCGCCCGCTCGCGCCCTGCGCCGCGGCCGCCCCCCGCACCTGGCCCGGAAGTGAAGTCGATGGCAAACAGCGCGGTCTGCATCCCCACGCTGGCGTTCCAGGGCGAGGACTTCTGGTAGCTCTTGCTCGACAGGTTTGGGGCGCAACCGGGGTCCGCGCTCGCCCCGCGGCGCGCGCACGCGGCGCACACGGCCGGCGAGGTCGCGCCGACCAGCAGGCCGCCCCGCCAGGCGGCCTCGGCGGGCTGCGCAAAGGTGCCCTTCTTGAGCAGCATCACGCCGGTGTGCTTGGTGTCTGTATTTGGGGGATGGGGATGGGGATGGGGATGGGGATGGGGGTGGGG